AATGCCAATGCCATGTCCATTCCTTTGTGACCATTGTGTAAATCTTCTTATGGCTACTTCCAGCAGGATAGTGTGCCACAAATAATCTTAACTTGTTTCTCAATCATTTTAGGAGTCATTTATGTCTGTAGTAAAGACAGCTCACATTACACAACAAAGTGTAATACGTAACGTCAGAAGGTTGTTCAAAGCCCCAACCCTAAGTATGAGCATTAGTAAGGATTATACTCCTATTAGCAAACACTAATAATTATTCTCATACCTCACTTCTCAAAAGCTTATACTTGGGTAATTAGTGGCAGGACTGATGGTACTGTAAATGCTCTTCTAAATGCCATCTAAATGAGCTCCAGGCTCTAGAGAGCAGGCCTGAGAGGTTACTGCTCTTAGATTTGGATTGCTCTGCTGAGGAGTCTGTCCTGGAGCCAACCCTCTGTATGTTTACTGCCTCTCCGGAACCAGCCTCCGACTTTCAGTCTTTTATTTCCTCTCCCTCTTTCCTAAATCAACACACTGCTGTTTATTTGTGCACAGTCAACCTGAGCAGAACCACTGGAGCTAAAGGAGTCAGCCACAGCACCAGCATCTCCACAAATAAAAGCAGACAGCTTTTAAAGAGTATAAACGCCACACTGGATATATTATACTGATTGAGAGTGATGGGCGCTCTTAATCCAAATATTTGACTCCTAAGTGTATCGTGGAGAGCTTTGAGGTCTGCCAGAAAAGCACTTTAAAAGGATCTTGCTCGTTTTGCTTATCTTGCTCAGGCATGAATACGACTGATATAGAGGAAAGTGTGGAGTAGAGATAGCACTCTACCATCATGTGCCTTGATTAGGAGTTTTATTGGATATTTGTAATAAGTTTGTGATGCTGTATTTGCAACGTGTTGGACATGCACTAACACGGATAAATCAAAAATCCTTATTTATTAAACAAAGAGAAAACACTAGGAGACATCGGATATCTCGCTAGGATATATATAGAGCCTGACAGAGCTTAAGGGGTCGAGGGACGAAGCGCAGCTGAAGGCCTGGAAGCAACATCTGACCAAGGTGAGGGATGAGGGAGCCTGGTGGAGCCGTAAGGTCGATGGTTTCAGGTGGAACCGAGGAAGGGAGGAGCCACAGTCGAGCCGGCAGATGGAGTGATGGGCCTGATGGCTGGAAAGGAAGTCAAAGGATCTTCTTGGCAAGGCGGAGCTTGAGACCGGAAGACCAAGGCAGATCCACACAGCAGTGGAGTCGGAGAAGGAGCTAAGGGAGCTGAGGGAGGCTGGGCAGGATCCTCAGAGACACAGGAGACTCGGAGTTGGGTAGGACCAGGAGAAACAATGGAGACTTTGAGCTGGGTGAGACCAGCCGGTGATAGGAGACACAGATATATACTTTTCTATTTCCTCAAAATATGTAACACTTACAGTAGGCTAGCTGCAGCTCACCCTAAGTGACAGGAGTGAGGGCGTTGCTCCACTAAATGCCCTCGAACTCCACAAGGACACCCATAGTGACGGATGGCTCACACACCTGGTCAGACAATTTGTTGGGATCGGGCTCAGTCTTTGTTCTATTTGAAATTGCAGCAGGCTCAGGTTCTGTGCCTGAGATGGGCTCTGGCATCCTCTCCATGTAGTGTGTGGGAGGCGGCTGGCTGGGCTTTGGGTCCGGAGAGGGGCTTGTGATGTCCTTTCAGGTGAGGCAGATGGTTAATGGAGATCCGTTATTCACCAGCACCCACTCCAAATAGTTGTCAAAATCTCCCCAGAGACCAACACTGAGCAGGCGTACCTTGGATCGCTCGCCGAGGCTGGTAAAGTAGAACACACAAAGCGATCGATCTGGATGGTGTGTGAGGCATGCCAGATCTAGAAAGTCCTTGGTGTGGTCCTTTAGATTTTGCTCTTTCTGCTATAGGCAGAGCAGTTGGATGGTAGCCAAGTCCATAATAAAACAAGTGGAGAAAAAAATCCTGCCACAAATGTGTTTTTTCTCTCTCTCTAAGTTATGTCGTATTTGATACATTAGGCTCATGTAGAATAGGACAAGACAGAGCTCATACTTGACAAAAAAAAACCCTCTCAGTTTTATTCAGACAACCAAACTGAGCAAAAATGTTCAATTCGGTGCATTTGCTGATATTTATGTCCAAAGTAAGATGAAGTAAGTCAAACTTCTGATAGCTTGTAATGTAAATAAATGGAAAGTTTACATAACAGTGCAGCAACATAAAATGCCAACACATTATCATATAGGGCATCATCTAACTGACACTTTTGACCATGCGTCTAAATCCGACGCACATGGCAACCTTTAGCGTCAGTTACAGTAGATGAGGTAGGTTTAGGTCTAGGGTAGGGTTAGGGTTAGACCACTAGGAGACACGTCTCATATTGACGCTAAAGGGTGACATGTGCGTCGGATGTTGACGCATGGTCAAAAGTCAGTTAGATGACGCCTTGGGATGAGAACGGGCTGAAAATGCATATCAATTTCAGTGGTCACATTATATCTTCTAATAATATGTCTTAGTAAGATGATGTTTAAATGCTTAGTTTTATTTTATCAGAGCTATGTAGTTTTTAACGCAATAGATTGATGATTGAGAGATGTACAAATATTTTACTCAAAAGCCTGATGATTCATAATTGATTTTCCCATTTATTTATGAAAATTGCTGCAGGTTTGGATTGATATTTACTGATACTAATAAATTGTCCTGATAATCAAGGCTTGATTATTCAAATTATGAACAACCTTTTTTTACCCATTCAGAAGAAGTTGTAATAAAAAATGGGTGGGTGCGCATATTGCTATTCAGTTATAGAGGGATCTTGGTGGTTGCTATGGTTTTGCTTGGAGATTGCTTACTGGCCCAAGTCAATACCCACGAAGCCTCTATGATATTCGGGTCTCCAGATGTGGTTTGAGTGCTTTCAGTGCAAGTCAATGGGAATTCATCAGTTTTGTGGTCTTTCAGGCAAAAATCACAAGTCCTGTTGGTTCAAAAACTTCTCTTCTTACAAATCTCTCTCTTGTTTACTTTGCTAGAATGCATCCAATTCTCCACTTATTACCTAACCAATCATATTCATTTGTTTCTAGATATTTCCCTCATTCCTACTTCCCCTGGATTCTGAGTCATTTCCTAGTAATGTTGGTTAATGGATTTCGCGGGATATTCAATTACATTTGGCCTTCATTTGGTTCCTTGATTGGTGCATGATTTATTTTCCTGAAAGCTTAATTTTTGAGGATTTTAACCAATGTCTATGGTCTAGGGAGTATCTCAGCCAGTTGGTATTAAAGTTTAAAAAATACTGGACTTTCATGTTTATGGTTCACAAAACAAATAATGGTTGAAAAGAATTATGGTCAGCTTATATTTCCATCCAGATCATTGGAAATGCCTTCATCTCTTCTCTTCCGAAATACTAAGAAAGGAAACGTACACTAAAACAACATATAAAGCAAAATATTTTATATGCAGCTGTTAAGCATTTCCTAAGCACTGATGATTTTCTACAAGGTGAGTTGTTAAGTATTACCATAACAGTGTACAGCAAATTATCAAATGTGTGGTATTATTCTTTTATCCCTCAGGACTTAAACAGATCGTGTCTTAATAATGTATGTTATTGCGATAGGCAGAAAATAAATCATAAATCAGATATACAAATCAAGATGTTCAGCAGGCATATATGCTCCAGTTTCTGTATGTGGAAGGGAGATTATCTAACATTGACAGACAACTGGGGTCTTTAAAGTACAGTCTTCAGTAGGCTAAAGCTAATGAACTTATTGTGTATGTTGTTTTAAAGTTTTATTATTTTTTTTATTATTATTTTTTTAAATAGTGGTGTAGTGTCTCGGCTTCTGCATACAACACTCAGAAAAAAAGGAAAAAGCTGTCACTGGGGTGGTACCTTTTCAAAAGGTACCGCCTCAGTGACAGCTTCTGTACCTTTTTTTTTTTCTGAGAGTGAATAATGACATGAGTGATGGGGCAATGGGTCACTACAACCCAGTCTCATAAGGAAAGGTAACTATTTTATGAGGAATTTTGTATGAATTTGTGCAATGTGATTCTTACAGAAATACATAACTTTTTGGAGAAAAAAAAGTTGAGAATAAAGATCTGCCTCTAAACCTAAAGTCAGTGGGGCATACGCAGATAATAAGAAAACATGTAATGAGATCATGCAAATTCATACAAATTAGTCAGCAATTTGGTAAAAATAGTTACTAATTGACATGAGATTGTGTTATTCATTAACTTAAAATGGCAAATTATATTACCAGGCATTTTTTCCTTTTAAACAACTAATTCTAAAAAATGGTAAATCATTATTGTGATTTACTCTTTTTTTTGTAATTTGTGGGGTTATTATTCAGTTAGTTAGAAGTAAATTTAATAATCCTAATATTACTGATGTGAGAACTGAACTGGACAATGACGTCCTTTTTTTCAGAACAGCTTTATAGATGAAATTAACTGATTTAATAATTGATGATCTTCAAAATGAACCGAATCAACACTGACATGACATCAGCTGAACAATAGCTGAAACGCATCATTTTCTATCACGTGAAGCTGCTTTGAAACTACACTGTAAAAAATGTGATTTTTTATCATAACGTTTTTTCCTCTGTCAAATCAACTTTTGAGAGTTTCTGATTATTAAATCAATCTCCTTCATTGTATTAACTCAATTTTTCAATTTCAATGAACTTAAAGTTTTAAGGCAACCAGGTTACTTATTTTTTTAGTTAAACCAACAATATTTTTTACAGTGTACCTGTATTGTATAAAGTGCTACAGTATATGAATAAACGTAACCCATCTTGACTACATTTCAGACATCTTCGACATGCATTAAAATCATCTTACCAAAGAAATTGGATAAGACACCGTATTTGAATATAATTCAACAATAAATGTGGTTTTGCACACTTCTATTGTCCCTCATAATTCTACATAATTCTTCTTCTACCTTCCAGGCTTGTTTCAGACTCAGAGGCGTTAGATGTATGATATGTGAGCATTGAATATTTCAGTGGCTGTCTGCCTGGCCCGTGCTGACCTGCCTGACATGTGACGTTGTGCTCTCGTTGGAAATGCCCCGTCACCTCACATCAGCCAGCTGGCTGGAAGAAGCAGCTGACCCTCTTCTCCTCTCCATTTTTCTCTCATCCTCTCCTTTCTGCTTTCCCGACTAAACCCAACATAAGGATCAGAGAAGGAAGATGTGAAAAAAAAAATACTGCAAGATCATGTTATCTGGTACAATTACATGTAATCTTTATAGTAAAATACTATTAAAAGAACAATTTAATATATATTTCAGTTAAAGGAACACTCTGACTTTTTTGGACTTTAGCTTATTCACTGTATACAAGTCCACACATACGTTTTTCATCTCCGTGCGTGCTGTAACTCTGTTTGACGCACCCACCACTAGCCTAGCTTAGCACAAAGACTGGATGTAAATGGCTACAGCTAGCATACTAATTCTAATAAGTGACAAAATAACGTAAACATTTCCGATTTATGTGTTGTGATTTGTATAGTCACAGAGTGTGGTAATATGAGACAGATATCTTTTAACCATATAAATATTGGGAACTATATTCTTAGAAGGCAGCACTGCTACTTGGGTGGAGTGATAAAGTTGGAGTGTTCTTTTAAACAGAACATTATTTTACTGTGAATTTAATTTCAATCTGTAAAATGTGATAAGATGCTATCATATATTTATGGAAAGGTTCTAGCAACCACAGCAGCCTTTTTTTGTTTTTGTTTGTTTTTTACCACAATTTCATTTTTAGATGATGGGATGTTTTATTGCACTTTGCGGATATATTGTAAAAATATTGTGTTAATACCAAAATGAAGTATGTGAAATATGTTACATAGTTTTTATGAATTTATGCATCTACTGTATTTGTTTTTAGTTGCTGTTTTATGTAAAAAAAAAAATCCTTTTTGTTTACCATTTTTATTTACAATATTTCAATTGAAATTAGGTGGAGTGGTGATGGTGGAAACCCCGCAATGGACTTCCCAACTGCCAGGAAGAGATAGGCTCTAGCATCCCCATGACCCTTAATAGACCAAGTACATTTTACTACTACAATAAAGTAAAGTCAAAAATGTGAAATGTTCATGTTTTCTATTAGGATTACAATCCACTGCGGTAGTGGAGTAAATTGCAACAGATCCAAAAAGGAAATAACCTTCTCCCTCTTTCCTCCTGCTGCCACTGTGAATTAACTCTGACTGGTTCTTTTAGGTTCTACTTTAATTCACACACACTGATATGCGTGTCTGAGTATGATCTTTTACTAACACTACCGCAAGATCTTATTAATAAGTAAATGAATGAGCAAATGGTACCATGTAATATGAATACCTGCATTGCTCAATATTTCATTTAACTCTGTTTAGAAAGTGCCTAATGTTTAGCAGTGGGCAACATTTTCTTGTCTATTAACTGTTTTTTCCCCCAATAAAACAAAACAAAACAAAACAAAACAAAACAACAACAACGCATTCGACTACCCCAAAGACAACAAGAGCCATAATTATCGTGTTATAACAATGTAATAACGTGTTATTACACACATAAACCTGTATTACACAATCTTGACAGTATAATTACAATTTTGATGCCAATTTCGGTTTGATTTTATGAAATTGTTTTTTTTTTTATTCCATCAAACAAAGATGAGGAGAGCTGAGTGTACAGACAAGGAATAGGCTAGTGCGTTATTTTGCTTGTCTTAGTATTAGCTTTCTCTTGAAATATTTGGGTGGACTAATCTGTCTGCTTGTCAGCTTCAATGCCTTGTCACAACTTATCAAAACAACTAGCCGAAAAGCTAATAGCTAATAGCTGACAGTCTTTCAATGCACCCCACCAAAAAGGAAAACATATGTAAAGTAGAGTGGGCTGGGAACTCAATGTATCTTTGTTAAATGATGTGTAGACTGTCAACATTATGAGGAAAAAATATATAATGTGGAGCTCGTGGCAGGGTGTCTTCATAACATCAAAGGTGAGTAGCAATGCTTTTAGCAATTAACAGCCGGAAGATGCACACACTTTTGCAAGTATTCCATTTATAACGTGAGAGCCTTGAGATACTGTGTGATCACTTACTGACATGGTATCTTGAGCAAGGCATGGCGCCTTGCAGCCCTCAAGAGTGGAGGAGATGTCAAGAGGGTCAAGTTCAGAGGCACGAACCTTTGTGTCTATTTTCGTTGCATCAGGCTCTGGCAGTAACCCATATAAACAGTGGGGAGCGCATGGAGAATAATTTGACCAATGCATATAAACATAGTAAGTACCATAAAATATGCACTGAAAAAAGAAAAAAAAAAGACCTCAGAACTTCTTTAGGACAAATTCACCCTCAATTACAATGCTCAAGACCCCTTTTACCAACCTAGGCTCATTGGAAATGTGCAATATTTCCTACATTTTTGTAAAATGTGAAATATGTTGTTCCAGGTACGTTTCATATGCTAAGCTGTACAAGTCATGTCATTACAAGGCATCGCAAATGCAATGCTGTACCAAGTGAACTACTGAGCAAGTTTACCATGTCAGAAAAGCTATGGAGCTATCTGATGCACACATCAAAATGTATCATTTTAAAAATCATGCATTATTCTAGTCTATAATATGCTTTACTTTCCATTTGCTTTTCTGTTGTATCTCAGGATGCCTATCCCAAGGTAACTAGAGATTATATCAGCTCCAATTTGGATCCAGCTTCTTAAAAAAGACTTTGGATGACCCAACACCTGCGAAGACTTCAGATGACGCAAACTCTGAATCATCACGCACCAATGATGTATTTATTTGGTTCATAATCATGACACATATGCTTGAAGGAAGGAAGTGCATAAGACAAAAATGTCACGCTCAGTTATGACATCATGAAATATGACATATGCTATGACATTGACATAAACCAATACATCATAACATGCAGTGTTTGTCACAACTGTCATTAAGTGTCATTCGCTCAGTTATGACATTTTTTATGCATTACATTATGACTGTCATTGTTTGACATTGATGCCATGAAGCCATTATAACTTTTTATGACACCTTGACATAAAGCCAATACATCATAACATGTCAAGTTGTCATTTGTCATTATGATGTTGATGTCAAGATGTCATTATAGACATCATAAACAATGTCATATTTGCATTCAAAATGTCATTATTGAGCGAAAGACACTTAATGACATTTGTTGTACACATGCATAAACCCTACTTCATATTCAAGACATACTGTATGTCATGTCATATAAAGGTGTCATGTCAGTCTTATGCACACCCCTTCAAGTAAAGTGTTACCATTTTGTAATTATTATGTTCACAACATGTAATAATTATTTTAATGAGCTCACTTTTTCTGTCTAAAATGTATATCAGGTAACTGCGTGATTTGTAAATGTACATTTCTGAAATACATTCTTAGACTAAGTCACCTCTGAGAACAGATCTCTCTAAATTATAATGTAGACAATTGCATTTTCTGTAAAGCTGCTTTGAAAGAATAGATATTGTAAAAAAGCAATACAAATAAATGTGAATTGAAATTGAATTACGGTAAACATGTTTAGAGGTAATAGTATTGTGCAAAATAAAACTTCATTTAAGAGAATATGCCCCTGTAATCAGTTGTTGCAGTTTTAGTGAAATGTATGTATGTTTTTTGCAGTTTTGTAGAAATGTAGGCAAAGTCACATATTTCCAATGACACTTGGTTGCTTATTACAGTATGTAATAAATGGTAATCAAGCATTTAAACAAGCAAAGGTCTCACAAGTTCACAGCAATCTAACATTTCTGTTCCATCTGATCGTGACTGTAAAGTGCCCCCGTACGAGAGGAACCACCAGCTTTGATCATCTGAGAAGACATTTAAAGCATCTTTGAGAGGCTTTTAGCATTTTAAGCTCTGAGGCCTCCAGTGCACCTCTGCAAATCTTGCTGTGTGCTTATGAAAGTTTGATGTTGAAATTAGGAGCTTGCCGATCTGACACCTATGCAAGCTGGAGACCCAGTAAAGTGCTGCCTGGCAGAACAGGACGCTTTCTCTCTTCACTTCCATCTCTGTCTGTTTCTCTGTCCATCCCTATTCTAAGCTGACAACATCAGAACTGTTTTAACAGGGCTTTAATGGCTGGGCCTTGGAAATCCTCTGAGGCTTCAGAGTAACTGTGAACTTCACCTCTTTCTTATGGGAGATGACATGCCCTCCTTTCTCCGCACACACACATTTTCTCTTTCACGCTAACACCAACCCACTGCATACACATTCTGTCACACTCATATTCGTGATGGCTCAGACTCTGAACTGGCGTAAGGATGAGCTGACCTGAGTTGCGTGCCATGGGGTGAATGAGTCCTCTTGTGGCTACCACATTGGTTGCTTTTGGGTGTGTTCATTAACGGGATGAGACATCATTGTGGCTTCATGGGGGATGTTGTTGCCACACAGACCCTGAGGACCCCACAGAGCCCAAAGCTGGCTCTTCTGCTCTGTCTCTCTGTCTCTCTTGTGCCCCAGAAGTAAAAGAGGATGAGGAAGGAAGAGAGAGAGAGAGAGAGAGGTTAAAGATGCGCCATCTCTATTTAATCCTGATCTCACAACTCCCCATTGATCAGATTTCACACCACTCTATCCATTTTTAAATGCATTTAATATACAACTGTTACCCTAAATAGTCTGATCTGATCCATAAAAGGTTAGTTTACCCCAAAATAAAAATGATCCCATAATTCACTCACCCTCAAGCCATCCTAGGTGTATATGACTTTCTTCTTTCAGCCAAACACAATCGGACAATAATCCACACGGCTCCAGGGGGTTAAAAAAAGGCCCTCTCGTTAACCACTAAAACCACCTCGTTACAACCGAGGTATGCATTTGTGAAGCCACAACGTGCACAACATTGAGGCGGATGGGCTACAATAGCAGAAGACCCCACCGGGTTGGTACCACTCATATCCACTACAAATAGGAAAAAGAGGCTACAATTTACAAGAGCTCACCAAAATTAGACAGTTGAAGATTGGGAAAATGTTGCCTGGTCTGATGAGTCTTGATTTCTGTTGAGACATTCAGATAGTAGAGTCAGAATTTGGTGTAAACAGAATGAGAACATGGATCCATCATGCCTTGTTACCACTGTGCAGGCTGGTGGTGGTGGTGTAATGGTGTGGGGGATGATTTCTTGGCACACTTTAGGGCCCTTAGTGCCAATTGGGCATTGTTTAAATGTCACAGCCTACCTGTGCATTGTTTCTGACCATGGTCATATCTTTATGACCACCATGTACCCATCCTCTGATGGCTACTTCCAGCAGGATAATGCACCATGTCACAAAACTCGAATCATTTCAAATTGGTTTCTTGAACATGACAATGAGTTCACGGTACTAAAATGGCCCCCACAGTCACCAGATCTCAACCCAATAGAGCATATTTGGGATGTGGTTGAATGGGAGCTTCGTGCCCTGGATGTGCATCCCACAAATCTCCATCAACTGTTAGATGCTATCCTATCAATATGGGCTAATATTTCTAAATAATGCTTTCAGCACCTTTTTGAATCAATGCCACACAGAATTAAGGCAGTTCTGAAGGCGAAAGAGGGGCAAACACAGTATTAGTATGGTGTTCCTAATAATCCATTAGGTGAGTGTATATACATATTTTTTTATTAAAATTTAAAAATAAAAGCATTTACAATGTAACTTGTTATTAAAATGTTGTATGTGGTTAATGGGTGGTTAATTGCTTAAGTTATCAAGTTGCACCCAAAGTGAATATGCAATTGATCGCTGTGAAGTTAATTTTATTTATTAAAATATTAACACTGTTTGAAAACTGTGGGGGTATTTCAATTAAATAATTTATTAGAGGTTCAGCTTACAAAAGTGTTTTGAATGTCTGCGGTGCTCTACAAAAGTGTCTTTCTCTTACCTCTTGGTGTCGTGCACACTCTCATAGACTCTTTCTGTCTCTCTCTTTAACTTGAACTCTCTTCGCACATGCTAAAACACACACAACACTCACTCTCAG